TGGGCTCCCCCCGCTCCTGGGCCTCTCGGGAGGCGAAGCAATTCATCTTAGCCCTTCTCAGCAAATCACTCCTGTGACCACACAACGCGAGCCGGCCATTCAGGCTGAACCCTGGCCGTGTATTATCCAGGCGGCGAATCCCGCAGAGCCCTGGCAGCTCACCCCCGCTCCCGCAGCTCGCCCTGCCTCCCAGACAGCAGCTCCCACAGGCTGTTACTGCGGCAAAGGCAAAGCTCCATCCTGTGGAAAGGGGGCAAAATTTTACATCTCCCCACCACCCCCCAAAAATTGTGAGCACAGCCACTGCTGCACTTGAGTTTACTCCAGTGCAGTCCCAGCTGCTCCAGCAGCCATCTGGGGCTGGCAGCAGAAATATTCGGGGGGGACCTCCATGCCTTGCTGCAATATTGGTGCATGGGTCTCTGGGGAGAGGGAGGCCAAACATGATGGGATTGCTTGGCTGAACTAACCAAGGTTAACCAAGGTTTCTTGGTCTTCCCTCTTTTTCTCCTCATAAGGAAATGGGGGTTATGGGGCCATTCAGTGGCAAGGGCAGTAGGCAAGGGGGAAGGGAGGAAGATGAAAGGAAGGAGAATGGAGACAAATTGCATGGCGTATCTTTTAAGAAGTAAAAAGTAGCATCAGAATAACAAACCTAGCCTCCAGCCCAGCACTGCCTGGTAACACACACATCCACACACATGACAAACAAGTGCAAATGCTCTGGGACATGGTGGCACCGACGAGTTCACCAGCAGAGACGGTCTTTGGGCTGTGCCTGGTGTGCTCAGGCTGGCTGGGACGTGGGCACAGAAGCAGCTGCAGGTGTACCTGTAAGCCTGTGCATCAGCATGTGCCCACACGGGTATCTCTGCCCCTGCTCCTCTGCCCAGAGGTGTCCCTGGCCCCAAGCTCCAGGAGTAGAGAAGCTGCGTCTGCGCAGACCAGGCCAGCCCTGTACCTCCCAGCTTGGCAGCTGCTGCCTCTCAAATCGAGCCGGGATCTGGCCAGCCGCCTTCGGTGACCCTGTAAGGCAGGCCTCATCCACATCTTTGAGGCCAGATGAGCAGTTTCTCCTCTCAGCCCCATGGGCTGCACCAGGGATGCTCAGCTCCTGTGGTTACCGCAAGCTGGAGCAGGTTTGCCCACCCCAGCGGCTCTTTCCCTGCCTCCTCCCCAGATCCCGCCAGGGGTTTTGGACAGCCCAGTTAAGGCATGGCCTCGAGCAGCCTGCCACCTGGTTTCCATGGCCATTGGTGGCTCTGGTACCCAGCTCAGCCACAACTTATGGGAATATGGCAGTGGTGGCGTTAGGCACAGGCATGTCCCTGGTAGGGTCAGATGAGGAGCGGCTTTGCTCCCTGGGACAGTCCTCTCCAGCAAAAGTGACAAAGGCAAAAGTTGTAAAGGCAGTGTTCAAGGGAAAGGCACTGGAAAAAGGGAATTCAAGAGACAAACTTCATGTTCTGGGCTAAAAAAGCAAAGAAGCACCTGCCAGTGCAAGTTTCCCATTTCCCAAGAGAGCAGCCTTCCACTCCCCAGCCTCCTCCTCCCTTGTCTGCAGGCAGAAGCAGGGGAAAGCAAGAAACACTCTGCATTTAGAGTAATCTAAGAAAAATGCCAACCTGCCACAGTCCCCAAGATTGCTTTTTCATGGCTCTCTATTCCAGGCTATGCTGCTTTGATGCTTAGAGCCTGTGTTAAGGACCACCGAGGCTTGTCACAGCTCAGAGCACCCACCAAGGCGAGCAGAAACAGTCACCCAGCAGCAACGGCCAAATGCAGCATCCCTGGGTGCCGAAACCCACACGAGTTTTGCCTCCTGCATCTGCAGAGGGGCAGGAGCAGACCTCAATTCTGCAGGTGTGGTAATGGCAGCAAAAGGCACTTGGACACAAAAAAATAACTTGTGGAAATAGCAAGAAAAAAAAAAATCTCCCTTTGGTACAGAAGACATCAGGAATTCCAACACCCACTTTGTTTAAGTGGAAGATATTTGAAGGAGCAATGACAGTCCACAGGAGCAAGAACCACAGCGATTCCACATCCCACAGCTCATGCAGATTGCTGCCAAGTCAGTGGGAAGGTGACACATCACATGGAGAACAACAACAACAACTTAAAAATAATAATTAATTAATTATTACTGACAAATGGGGCGGAGGGGGGGTGTGTGTGGAAATCCCAGTTGCTGATACAAATGAAACTTGGCTTCTGGAGTTTCTAGCGATAATAAATATTTAAACACTTTCCTTGTTTTAACATAAAGCAGAAGAGAAATGCAGCGACTGCGGTGGGAGCGGCGATGTGTCAGAACAGCAGCGTGAAGCAACGCATCAGAACACAGTCGGTGGCTCACGCCCGAGCGGTGGGGAGTGGGGAGTGGGCCCAGCACACCCCTGGCACAGCTCTGCCCCCAGGGCATTGCAATCACCCCCGGGGGAGGTTTCTTTAAACAACCTTCCCAGATATAAACTGCCTCTGCGCCTAGCACGCCGGGGAGGGAAGGGGACGAGCCAAAAGCAGAAACTGTGACCTGTGTGGTGCACATGCCAGGTGAGCAACTCACCCACCTGCTCCCCGGGGAATGATTTAGCAACCGTGGGGAGCTGTTCAGCCAGGGCTGCCACTGCACCAGGAACCACAGCCACCCAGCTTGGCTTGCTCAGTAGCCATGATTTCCATCACACAAGCAGTGTTTTATGCTAAGGGGATGCCTACCCAAAAAGTGCTAGCCCACCTGGGCTGCCTCCAGCCTTCCAGGTGGGAGAACAGGCCTGGGTCTTCCCACGCAGCGCTGCAGCTAATGCCCTTCTCGCTCCCTCCTTCACTCCCAGCAAAGCCAGTGGTAACACCTGCAGTCCACATCACCTAAAGTGCCTATTACAAGGTCCCGTCTTCAGCAGTTGGCAGCTTTATTCAGACCTTTAATTCTGCGGGCTGAAAGCTTCCAGGCAAGGTGTCTGCCTTGAGCTCAGTCTGCTTTCAAAGTCTTAGCAAAACCAAGTCAGCTGTTTCCAATAAAATAATCAGGGAAAAAAAAAAACTAGCCAGGGCCTGGCTTATTTTAACCTCTTTTGCAGAACCTGTAACTCTGGCAGGGGAAAGTTTAGGATGTGCCAGTGATGGATCAAGCACACATCTTACTCTCTGCCCCTTAGAAGTCCCCCTCTAGATTTGGTGAGCAGCAGCATTTTGGTGCAGAAGTAGCCTGCATATTCACTGGTGCCATTACAGTCTGTGGTGGTGTCCTGCCCCTGCCATGCTCGGGATGTGAAAAGTTCAGCATCAACTGCTTCAGGCCAGCATCCCCCACTACTTCCCCATGGAAACTGCTGGCGCAGGCAGAAGAGCAGCAGCTGCAGAGCACTGCTCCCTTCCCACCTCCGATGCTTGCCAGGGTGTCGCTCTGCACCCCGAGCACCCTACCTACCTTGCAGGTGCTCCAGACTCCAGGAGCTCCGGCCTCTGCGCAGCCGCAGCCCCGCTGCCTTCCCGGGACCCAAACCAGGCGGCTGGGGACCCGCCGGCAGGAGCCACAGCAGCCGCCTTCCTCTTAGGGAGCGGGGAATTAAAGGAAGGAAATACAGGGGAAGGGAGAACAAAAAAAAAAAAAAAAAAAGAAAGACTGAGCAAGTGAGGTTTTTTCCTCTGTCTGGCTTGGGGGAGCTGCAGTTTTCCCTGTTTTCTTTTCTTCTTTTAGCTGCTGCAATTCTGGCTTACGTTATTGGAGTAAGATGTGCTGGGAAGAAAACAATCAGCTCATAATCCTGCTCATGCTGCTTCTTTGCGGTGAGATTGCCTGGGGATCCATCCACCTCCTATAAAAGTCGCTTTTCTAGGAAATGGAAGGTGGGGCCAGACTGGTGCCCCCCAAAGATCCCTGGCGAGGATGGCTCTGCCTCTGTCAGGCTCAGTGCGTGCAGAGGCTGGGTCCTGTCTAGTCCAGCTGCACAGTTCTGTGATACTTGGTCTCACTGCTTGAATCCAAGGCCTGAAAGTTGACAAAGCATTAGCCTTCCTTCTGCTATCAAATTCCTGTATGCTTTTTGGCGAGATTAAGATCATGTGTGTGACCTGGGCCTCCAGTGGTCTGAAAAATACAATTTTTATGCATAATGTTTGTGACATGCATCAGATTCACATATGGAAAGGATGCCAGCTTCTTTATATCAGACTTCTCTACATCACACCTTTACTTCTTTACGACGTGTAGCTGTACGCAGGCATCAGGCCAACCTATTTCCAGCCCTGCTGCCTCTCCTCACAGAAATGCTATTCCATCCCAACGGTCTCCTTGAAGAGACCATTTAAAGGGTTACCAATTACTGCCAGCTTACTCATCTATTGAGGTGCCTTAAACAGCTATGACATGAGAATTCATACTCCCTCTGTTTACTACCCTTACTATCAGCACTTCCAAGCTGTTTGAGTGTGAGCTAGCCGTCCAAGAGAGAAAATACCTCAGAGTCACCCACAGAGCCATCTCCGACCGGACTTCTGCCGGGCAGCGCCGGAGGATGCCGGCCCCGGCCCGCTGAGAGGTCGCCTGCCCGCACGCGCGCCGGCTGTCCCCTGCCCCAGCGCCCAGACAGCGAGGAGCATCGCCCAGCTAGAGCAAGTGAGCCACACTGGAGGCAAATGCTCTGCTTAATTGGTCTCAGCTGGAAGCTGCTCTGTGCATGTCAGCGTGTTTAAGGAAGCGGGTCTACAGGAGAGAAGACACCAGAGTAACCAATTAAAGAAAACCCCTGACTTCCCTTCCCCCTCTCTCCCAGCTGAAAGTTTGTTTTATTTTAAACGAGGAGTGTTTCTCACTGTCAATGAAATCAACCCGAGAACAAGGTTTTGCTGTTGGTATTTCCACGTTTACTACTGATAGCACCTCTGAAGATAGCTACAGAGACTTGGTTAAATCAAGTCAAGGTTTGTACCTTTATGCCTCCGTTTTAATTTTTTTTCTTAAAAAGAGGAAAGAAGCAACGCAAGGAAACTCTTCATCCAGTTCAAATCCAAGTTTATTAGCCTGTAAAAGTCTGTTTCCACAAAGTAATCATAAGAAATGAATGAATGTTTATGGAGTGTAGCATAAAATATACCAAGTCAGCCATAGGTTGGAGTTTATGATTGCTCACAAAAATTAATCAGCACATCACATGGTATTGCATCAAAAAGGCAAATCAGTCCTAGGAATGCAAACAATCAGGATGAAAAGGCAAAACAAGTAAGAGCAGAATATCAGAAAGCAATAATTAGTTCACAGTTCCTAATGTGGGTGACAGATTTCTTTAGATGAGGTTATTTGCCCACTAATTCTCCAAAAACAGGTTGAAATCCAGTCATTATAATTTCACATTAAACAGTACATTCCTGGTCAGCGTATCAGCTGGTCAAATTCACTATCAATCTCTAGGTATGACTATTAAAATGTTGGCATAAGAGACTAGGTATGCTCAACAGTCCAGCTACTTTTCCTAAAGCCTGGTGGCCTCAGACACTCACAGCTAGAAATCAGAAGCTAACGCGAGACGCATGGGTTGAGATATTCTAGTCACTATCTGGAGGTGCAAACCTTCTCTTAAGAACCCTCCAGCACGCTACCTGTTTCATCAGATCTGAGTGGGTTCACCTCTCTCCTGGGCATAGCAAACCTGACGCCCTGGCAGGGGAAGGGGTGTTGGACATCTTGGCACAAACTTGTGTGTGTCGCGTGTACCAGGGAAGCGGCGGCGGGAACGTCCCCCCATGGGTCCTGTGCGCTTTGGTGTTGATCTTCTGTAGGGTTGTGTCTGATGGCCAAGCTGATGGACGGACTTTGCTCGCAAGCTACAACCAATGCAGAGAACACCCATGCTAGGAGATTTGGGAAAGCAACAGGGGTTCCTGACCTGGGCCAACTCTTCTCTCTCTCTTTCCAAAGGAAAATGTCTAGCCAAAAAGAGATGTATTTCTTCTAGTGTTTTGGGTTTTCCTCAAGAAGTACAGAGGGTTAGTGTTATTAACTCTGTAAAGACAGCAGACTTAAAGGAGTAAGGGAAGAAAGGCGTTCTTTTCTCAGATGTGGGATGCTTACACACATCATAAACCAAGTTGAGGAAAACTGCACTGAGTAATTAATCTGGGCTCTGGCTAACATCATGACACCTGCCGATCTTTCTACAACAATTCTGATGAATTATTTTCTAACAAAGATCCTTGACTCTGCAAGTCAAAGGGGCCTTATACAGGCCAATGAAACCACATGGAGAAGTCCTATTAGACTAAGAAGTATCTTCAAAGTTTAGTGGGAAATAAACCCATTAGGGCTAATTTCTAAAACCCCTTTTTCAGGGAATGGGCAGTATCATGACAAACTATTCCTACTTCTTAAATTAAGAATAATATGACAATCCTTTAACATCATTTGAAAACTCAGAAGAGCAATAGAAATACTTCTTGAACATCACAGCTCCTTTAGGCAGTCTAGATCCTCGTCTTGCATGATTACAATTTGCTATCTGCATTTTCTTAATTCTGCCTATCTTAGGCCAAACTACCTTGCTGAAGGACCCAGCTACTCAGCCAAGGGTATCCATCCTAAAAACCAAATGGCAAACAGAAACAAAGCTACGGTGGGAACAGATTCCAATACCTTTGCTGATGCTGAACTTTATCTTTCTTTCCTCAGATAGCTTCAGTGGTCTAAAACTTTGTTGTATGTTCTGTGGTTATTACTGAGAAGATGTATTTCTTACCTTTATAGATTTTGGGACCATCTACTCGTGCTCACCACACACAGGTGACTGAGTAGATCTTTACAGCAAAGTAAGGTAGAACTTATAACTAAGTCACCTCTATAATATCCTCCAATTTCACAAGCTATATAGTAAAGCCCATGGGAACCTGGGGAGGATGAGAGCCTCCCAGAAGGCATGTTGCCCTGTATCACCAGACCATTCATAATTTAAGGCTTGTTTCTTAGAAAAAATATGACAGAGCACTGAAATGGCTAGTGGCAAAACCAAACTGAGTCCAACACAGACTAGAAGAATTGAGATTCCACACAAAAGGGTATTTTCCTTTCTTTAAATATGCTCAGTAATGAGATTGTCAGTTTTGGCTTTGAAGAATTACCTGCTTGTTGTCCAGGGGTTTTTTTACTTTTTTTTTTTTTTTTTAATTAAAAATTAAAATCTATAAAAAGCTAGAGGTAGTTTTAAACTGCAAGGTTCATATCTGGGGCAAGTATTTCTCTGGAGCCAAGGGACATTTTTCATTCAGACTAGTATAAAACAATACTTGAGGGGAAAAACAGTTGAAAGAGAAAGCATTAAAGGTATAGGAACTCAGAGACCTCTTCCTGCTTCCAAATCGACCAGCTCATGAAATGAGTGTATTTCCTCCCTGTGCATTCTATATTTAATCCAGAGAGATCACTGACTACGCCTGAGCAACCTGGCAGCCCTTTTCCTCCTCTTCAAACAGACCTCAAGATTCACTCCTGGCATTGCCTAATGAACAGTCTACATCTCCCAAGAACATATATCCTTATGGATTTCAATGAGAGTGGACAGGATCAGCGGGAAATCCACTTCTATTGCTTTCACTTTTGTTGCTTCCTTAAAAAAACAAAAGAATACACCAAGGCTCCCCCTGGAAAATCAGTTGACATTGAAGGAATCTCACAGACCAAAGGATCTACCTCATGTTTCAAACCCTTTCAAAATCCTGTTTTGGCATCTAAGAGCAGACATTCTGTTTATTAAAGGAATATTCGCAGAAAAATTCCATTCCAAATTTCACCCAAATCAGGTGATGTGCTGCTGGCACAGTCACCAACTTTCCCACCTATCTGAAGTTGCTTTAATGTTGCCAAGTAGTTTGGGGAAATAAAATGGCAAGAGGAAACTGTTTCCTTTGCTATGTGTAGTTTATGAGGCAGGTAAAGAGCAAAACTTTGAACTGAGAAGCAGTAAAACAAAAAGGAAGATAATACTGCCACTCTTTCACAAACCATATTCGCGATCCCAAATACTCCAACAGCAACAGGATGATCTAATCTGACTGTTCAAAGAGTTACAGATGAGATTTCACCTTCAAATGCTTTTCCCTGCAAAGCTACCTGCTAATTTATCACATCACCCTCACCGGTCCACTCCTTTTATACTACTGAGGTCTGCATTAAAGGGTTGAAGGCTTTTCTGCAATCCATCTTGCTCCTACTTCACTAACCTTTTTGTAGCCTCAAAATCTCAACATAACATTCCTAGTCTCATAAAGGCGTTGTGTTTTTTTTTTCCTGCTATTTCAAAAAAATCCAGAATACAAGGTTACCTTCAAGTACACAACTTACTGGGTTTCTATAGTTTGCCAATTGAGAAGGAACTAGTTTTGTAGCTATTGTATGGTCACTTCATAAGCATTCATTCCCATACGCAAGACTGAGGTTAGAATTTGGAGCTTCTTGCCCATTTTGAGGATTCTTTTTTTAAAAAGGTTTTCTTTGTTTAAGATCCCACAAACAAAACCTGTTTATGGAAAAAGAGAGATATTTTGAATACTAAAGTCCTTTATTCAACAACACAGAAATATCACAAAAACAACTTTACTGGGCAAATTGAATGTTTTTATACAGTTTTGTACATGCCCCATAAGTGATTATTTTTTTTCATAAATACACTGTTTTCCAAAACTGTTTTTTTCCATAATTGCACAAGCATACATACACCTTACACAAATATCTATTAGAAAATTTAATAGATAACTGCACAGTTCAGAAATAGGAGAACACTGTGAAAGGAGTACATTTCTGTGGCCCGTGTTTCTGAAAAAACCCTCCTAGTTCCCTGCAATTGTGAAAATGGAGTACTTTCTAACATAGGAGCTGTCTTTTATTCACTAAGAATACAGTAGAGCTCAGCGTGAAACTGCCAAATTTAATAAAAACAAAATCTGAAACATTTAGCTGTTACATGAGAACCCACTGTTTGATATCACTATGCATCTAACCATGATCAAAGACCCACTACTGCTTTTTGCTGAATGCATTCGACCCTGAATGGTATGTTCATTTAACTACTTTCTTTCTTCATTATTTGATTATAGATATAGTCCATTTAAAGACTTTATATTCTTTAACATTAACTGTAGGACTTACATACCAGGGGTTCTGTACAAAAGGGAGTATTTTCCCTCTTAGGGAGGGTCTGTTATTAATTGACAGAATGGGAACATGTGCCTCCCTTTCAGCCTTACCATTTTTCATAAGTTTATCTGGGGTATGCCAAAAATGCTTCCATTAGGTTTAATGCTCACACCTAGAAGACGGCGAAAGTATGTTCTGCCTTTTTTTTTGCCTCTTTTTTCCTTTTTTTTTTTTTTTTTTTTTGTCGTGAGAATGAAAGACATAGAGGAATACAAATTCTCATACTGGAAAATGAGTTTGAACCTCATGAAAAGTACAAATTTGGTAATTAGAACTTGACAATAACCCGATTGACAAATATGTGTATAAATGGGGGAGAGGGGGAAGGAGGGAGAGGGCTGGGGTGGAGCGAGACAGGCCAGAAAAGGGATTTCTTTCTTCAAACATCACTAATTAAAATGCTCTATGCGCACTACATCATATAAATACTGTTTCAGCAAAATCTAAAAATCTGATGGTGCAAAGGAACAACATCCAAAATGAAAACCATATGGGTAAATCAAAGAAAAATCAACTCTTGTTCATTTTCAGTAATTAACAGGTTTGCTTGCTTGTTTGTTTGTTTTAACAATTTTGAATTGACATGTAAAACACCACAATTACAATATACAGATCCATCAGTTCTTTAAAACAAAACGACAAAACAAAAAAAGAAACCACATCAAGACATGCAACATTAGGGTATTAGACAGTAAGTACATTGCTATGAATATCTTTGTACACCTAATGTAGCCTGAACTTAATTTTGTCTCTGCTTCTGTAAGAGCAATCACAATTTTCCAAAAAGCAAGGCAAGCTTACCAGCCAGATGTGCAAATAAGGCTTCAGTTTGTAAATCAATCAGCGTTTTGGTAGCGAAGACCTTACAGAGCTTGTATTGGTCTAGTGGTCAGTAACAGAGGCCCTAACCAAAAAGTCTCCAACAAAAAAAAATTCATATGCAGCTGTCATACAAACAGACATAAAACTCATTGAATGGGCACTGGATGAGTATTAAACTGAGGATCTCTTACAAACTGCGAGAGGGGCAGCATGATAGAAGCATTTCAAGTGTGACATTCCATCTCTGAAGCCACGTATGGGACGTCGTACAACGCAAAGACGTAGACACGTGCATCGACCCTAAGCTGAGGACGCAGGTGTAAGCCCAGCCCTCCCACGCTCCTCCAGTTACACCGGGTCACCCACGCTCTGCCCGGCCCTGCTGACACACACGTGTGACCTCAGGAGGTTTCTCTCATCCCTCGGGCTTCGCCTTCCAGGCCGTTCCCAACACCCACGGGTCCCGTGAGCTCCCTCCCCTGCCAAAGTTCTCCCCCACCCGCACAGGTCCCACACAGCGGCGCTCCCAACCATCCCGTGTGCTTCACCAAGTGAGTGTGACTGGGGGCCAAAGGCTGACGGACTTAGCGAAAAACAGAGAAAGTGCTGAAACAACAGGAGATCTGAACGTGCTGTGCATCATTAACCGGTTATTTCCACGCCCAGCACCTTGTCTATGAAAATACTGGTAGCCCTATCTTGTATAAAATGATAAATCTATCAAATACATGGCACAACAGCATTTGCTTATTTTGATGAGATGGCCTTCTCACTCATGAGTGGTATGACGAACCCAAGCAATAAAAAATTATGATCAACTGATAATAAGTATCCCTAAGTTCAGTATCCTCCATATTTTTTACGACATGCGAGTTATATCCCTCCGTGTGCTGCCTTTTTGAGGAGCAGACATTTCCTTCGTGCAGCTAGAGCAGGAAGAACAACGGCGGAACATTCTTCTGGGGGCCTAAGGGACCAGCCGTTCAGCAAAGCTGAGATCAGTGGACCAAGAAACAGGTGGGGAGAAGCGGTGTCTTTTTTTAAACATTTTTTTTTAAAGTTCATTTTTATACCGCAAAAATATCCAGGCTCTCAAATGAACACAAGTGCAAGTGAGACCCAAACCAGTCCAACTGTCAAAACTCACTTAACTGTGAATAGCTCCACTTGGACCAAAAATACAGCATTCCACTTTATAAAATATTTACTCCATTGACAGAAAATGTTACATAAGAACTCATAGGTGAAGGGTAATTAGGCTGAGTCATCATTTTTCTAAGGTCTTGTCCTCACTTTGTTTTGCATCCTAGAACAACCTTTTATATAGATGACTGGTTTTGCACATCTACCTATGCTGGGCACTCCACCTCAGAGCACAGTGAAAAGCGAGTCAGACACCAGACAGCATTTTTGGAGAGACACCCCTCTGTAAAGCTCCTCTGGAAGCAATGCAAGTGCACAAACCACTACTCTAATATAGTGCTTGAAAGATTAATTTTAAATGTTATGTCTTCCCCTCTTACACCACCACGACGGGAGGTAATTGCTAGATGCGTCACAATCTTTTTGTCTTGGAAAACTTGGCATCAAGTCTCTATGGAAGGATGCATGGTAAAACAGTGCTGCTGTTGCTGCTGCTGCTAAACAACTAGCAAATTAACAGTTAAAGCTAGAATTTATTGCTCCGGATTTAACTCGCAGAACCACACTGTTGTGTACAAACCGTTAATCTCCATAGATGCTCAGACATGATTGTCTCCTTGTGTCTAAACACACAAAATACAAGCGGCTATCTGTACAGTTTACAGTACTGAAACACATATATTTGAAAATGAAGTATAGATATGTTACTTTTCAAAGATACATGACTTTATAGCAGGGGTTTACCCAAACTTTTTTTTTTTTTTTTACAGCCACTTTAAAAATAGACAACAACTTCACTAGTATAGCTAAGTTACATCAAAGAAAGAATCAGTGTACTGAATGTGAAGAAGCTGGCCAATTCCCCAGGCTCCCAGATTTTTGTCTTTTGCTTTTGAGGAAACCCCTATACATAAATGAAAATAGTGTCTGAGTATATTCTTCAATGGTGGACTAAGCAGTTTCTTAAAACAAGACTTTAGCTTGCCATTCACTTCGGACTGCCTTGAAAATAAGATACACTACTGCTTAAAAGAACCATCGGAATGCTTCAGCGCTGGGAACAGGTGTTCTCTAAAAAAAAAGCAAGAAAACAAGTTAAGCTTTCTTTTGCGGCATTGGCACACTTGAGTTCTTCTAGTTGTTATTTTCCTTTAAATTTTAGGCATACTTTCAGTTATCTAGGAACAAAATGATGCCTCACATTGCTTGACAATTAGTAGAAACATCCTTTCTCCAAACACACACCATTTTAGCATCACACACGTTACACTGTACTCGGTATATAACACACCCAGCATGCTGTCTTCTCCTTAGCTAGTTAAGCAAGGTAGTCATGGAAATGTAAACATCGCTAGAAAAAAAAAATCTCCTGGAAAACAGACAGCGCTTTTAGAATAACCACACAGTTGTACAATGGTTTCTGCCTCTGCTGTGGCATATTGCACGTGGTGGGTTTGCAGGTTAGACACACGCTTTGGCAAGAACTCTTCTTTTGATAGGGGAATAACGAGGGCATTGATCTGTCATTCAAAACGCGTGCTTGCTGTGTCTACAGATGCCATGGTCGGCATTTTGAAACTTGAGGCTGGCCACCTCACTGCATGTTTAAACTGCAATGCAGAAAGCACTTAAGCACATCCTTGACTTCATTTCAGCGGGGGAAACATCCTACTGACCCGGGGGACAGGGGGCTGCCCAGACTGCCCACGTACTTTCTTTCACACACATGCTGGATTTTTGCTTACGTAGAAATAGCCTACTTGCAGAGTTGGTACCCACCCTCATTCCCCCGCCTATTGTCCCCCGCAAAATGATGTCCACTTGCATTCAGGTGCCTCCACACACATTTGAGTACAGGCAAATTCCCTTCCCAGCTTTAAAGTACAACATACATGAGAGACTGGAGCACTGAGCCTCCATGGGCTGTGTAATTTCTGTGAGGTACTTCTTGAATGCAATTTCTTTCAAAGTCAAAAGATAACGAAAGTGCCCTTGAACCCAAGCATCTAGACCCACACGTCTCGCCTCCAGAACTAGTGATGATGCACTGACCAGGGAGGTGAGAGCAAGCCCCGAGATGACTTTGTATCAGTCAGCCCCAGCGCACAGGTACCTGTTTCATTAAGAACTGCCCACAAATAGTAGCATCACGTCCGACAAAATTCCCCTAAAAGCAAAATGCTGGAAATTTGCAAATACATACTTGTAATGAAAGAGTTCTCACTGACTTTTCTGGTGCCATATATAAATACCATGTCTCTTTTTGAAGGATTTCATTCATTTTTGTTTCAGGGAGGATCTTTTAAATGTTTTCCTAGTTTCTCCATAAAAATCCAATAAACCATGGACCCTACAGTGTACAGTGTGCATTGTACTTGATATCAGAATATTTCTTTCTGAATATTCTGCTCATTAGTATGGCAAGTATTTTTTATTGAATAATTAGCCCATTTTGTGATAGTCAGGCTCAAGCAGTACACGGCTCCTCTTTATGTAAAAGCTGTATGAAAGGGGAGCTCTTATTGTTATGTTTATCGCTCATGCCCATGGAAATACCAGAGCTGAAAGTACTTCTGCTGTGTCACCAGAATTCTGACCTGTGGTCAATTCAATACCCACTCCCCTTCCGCAAATGTTAGGCTTTAATAAATCATCTGAAAATTAACTTCCAGAGACAATGAGCTGGCTTGTTGAATACAATCACTCTGACCAGTATGTGTTTTCTTTGTGTCGGTGGTCCAAAAGTAGGAATTGCTCATATCCATCTTTCCCAGTCCCTGTTCTGCCCCCTTACATGTGTCTAGCATGAGCACAAGTAGTGACAAAGCACAGCAACCCTCCTCCCTAGGTATGCCAAGGAGAGCTAGTGCAATCACTAGACCATCCGCACCGGTCTGTGTGGGCTGTAAGATGGCTGCTGAGAGCGAGGTATACAGATTTATAATTTATAAAGAGGTTGACTGCAGAAGAGGCTGGAGTTCAGAATGACAGGAAACAAACATATGACTAAACTGACCTCAGATGAACAGCCAAACATGCAAATGTATTAAACTCAATGGCTTGACTTCACCTGAAAACTAAATGTAATACTCCACTGTGGGTCCATCCGCCTAAACACAAAACCACAGCTAGACAGAGAGATTTAAAGACATAGTGACTGAGATGGCCTTTATTTATTTTCTTGCAGCATCAGGTTGAGTTACTGTCAGACATTGTCATATCAGCTGGAAGTAAAGGTGCAATCTCTGATTAAAAGGTCATTCAGACCTTTAAATACACGGAATAATATTTTTGAAGGGCAGAGCTGTGGTTTAATATGTGTGCTTTTGAAAAACTACAAGATAAGGAATTTTGCATCTGTGTACCAAGTTCTAACTAAAGATATGCATTTACAATTACATATCCATTGTGCTAACCCCCGATTCGGGAACAAATTATTAATCCACACTTAAACAAAAAAGAAAGCTTTTAAAATTGAATAGATGGATCAAGTTAAATCCAAACCAATTTATGTGATGAAATCCATACATTTTACCACTCCAAGAATCAAGGTTATTTCCAGACAAAAAGAGACCCTTCAGCCCATTTAGTGGTTCAGCACACCAACGTACAAGCTTTAAGTGCAATGACCATCTACTGCCTGGCTGTGTAAATCCAGGAGTCCCAGCTGGGGAATCAAACTCTCAGCAAGATTACAGCGCGTTTCTGGATCTCTGTGCTGCTGGCGCGGAATCATTATCCTGAGTGACAGGAAAGACAGATTCCCCTGGAAGCCTGGGGAGGGGTGGTGAGGAGCAGAACCAGAGTTGATCAACGCAGTTTTCCTGTAAAAGCCTTCACTGCTCGTGCCAGTGCAAATGCTGACAAACGGCAGGCTTGCTCCCAGGAGGATGCTCAGAAACCCGCAGCCCCAGCTTCTCCGAGCGGGTAATGCCATAAAGCGTGGCGCCTGAGAGAATTTATCCCTGCACAAACCTGGGATGAAATGACCTCCACGCTTTCAAACTCTCTAGTCTGTTCCCTTCTTGCCAGCTTTCACTGCAAAAGAAGCAGCTCAAACATTTGAAATTTGAAATTTTAATTGCTGCCTGGAAAAATCAGCTTCACATAGGGAACCAAGAACGCTGCATTTTTGGAGGAGGATGTAAAAAGGGCAACCGAAAACAACAGAGGAGCAAAAATCAATTAAGCATAATGGAAATGTGATATCTACGTATCTCTCCTGGTTGCCCCCCACAGAAAGGTGAAAGCAAACCCTTGCTACATGTGTGTGCATGCACACGCTGCCAACACATGAAAACAGCACACTGGCGGGTGCTGTCAATTCCTCACCAGAGACTCCGTTTCAACAGCTGAGCTCTGTGTTTTCACAGCAAAAGCATTCCTTGAAGAGTGATGCCCCTCACTGTCCCCCGGGGTGAGCAGCCAACTGATGGAGCAAGGCGTGGGGTGCCAGACGGCGGGCTCTGCTTGCCCAAGGCCGCCTGCTTGCCCAGCCCAGCCCCGTCCCTCGGCGAGCTCACGCCTACAAAACCTGCCCGAGCTGCCTCTCTCCTCGGCTCTCTGAGTCTCACAGCTCACAGCCACCTGAAAGATTTGGTATGCAGATCAGGAAAGTCAGCCGCTCCTGCTTGGGATGCTGTTGCTTGGGGTGCAGCCCAAATTCACAGCTGCATAACCAAGACTCACTGTAAGTCATCTGTATTATTGTTTTCTGCAAGGCTAGGGAATCACTTGGGTTGGGGTGAACCACATTCAGAAATAAAATAGAATAATAAAATATATCAGAGCGCTACATGATTATGACCTAATACTTTACCGATGTTAAAAGATGTTGCATTATGTAAGAATCCTTTGATGTTTGATCCATGAGCAAAAATCCTGTTCTCATTGAAGCAAACTCACACGTTGGCTACAGCAAGTTATTGGCCAGATGTGGCACTCCTCACTCCTCTTGAGGACTCCTGTCTGAAACAATCCAGCTCAACAGAGGCCCTTTGGGTAGTGTACTGCAGCTGAGGTACATTCAACAAGATCTGGGCTACCTGACAGTCTTTACAAAGACCTTACACAACCACCGAAATAGATAGTGATGAAGCAACTGTGTCCTTAATGAAACTCAAATTCACATGGCAAGGCAAATGAAACCGGTGGATTTCCCAAAGCAGCGGGACTGGTGCTGGCTACACAGGATAAAACAAGGTCTGCACAGAACCCCACGTGAGTTTCCCACCCTGGAGGACAATCCCTTCTTGAAATGCCTTCCATGAGAGGTGCAGTTTGGCAGTTAGAGCAGTGGATGTATAGCATGAAATTTGGCCCACTGAGTTATATACATATATAACTGTGTATGTATATCTCAATATACACATATATGTGCATGTATAGATAGATGATCAGAGACAGAGAAATCTGGTGCTCCATGGTGGCCAAAAAGTTCAGCTGCAAAGTCATGGCCCCTGCCCAAAATGCAATTTGGATCAGTCAGCAGCCCGGCAAACACTGGCCATAAACCAGTGACTATGCTTTTCTTAAACCTCTGCGAATGTGGGCTACACACCTAATCAGTCCCACAAAACTCACATGACTGCCAGCAAGAAAGCAGACTGGCCTTTCCTCCACAACACTCCTTGTATTTCCAGTGCTGCAAGCTACTTCAGATGTCAGCTTGATCACGCTGGAAATGACGTCAAATATATACACAGCGTTCCTCCTACATACACAGCGCAGCATCTGGTGTAAATCCATCCGTTCCAAAACTCACATTCCATCCTCAGTTTCCCCTCTCTGGAAAGACCCTTTCCCAGCCAAGTGCTGGACTGCAGGACATGCGTGGCGGTACGGACCCAGCCTCGTGGCTGGAATGGGGCTGTGCGTCTCGCTGAGACGTGCCAGCAGCCAGCAGAGCAACACCATCTCCCCATGCGTGGGGCAACGCCGTCTCCTGACCTGCACAGCAACACCATCTCCTGACCCACAGAGCAATGCAGTCTCCTGACCCACGGAGCAACGCAGTCTCCTGACCTGCAGAGCAACGCCGTCTCCTGACCCACAAAGCAACACCATCTCCCGACCTGCAAAGCCATGCCGCCTCCTGACCCACGGAGCAACCCCATCTCCTGACCCACGGAGCAATACCGTCTCCTGACCGGCAGCAGACGCAGCCCACCAGCCCCTGGGTGAAGGATGCCGGCCGCCTCTCCTGCACCAATCTGCTCTGCCACTGGTGAATGCAGTCTGGACAGCATCTCCCCTCCTCACTTGCCTAAATAACCGAGCCACCCTGAGAGGAAAGCAGCCTTTGAAAGTATCTATGGCCCACTTTGTTCCGCTCATAAATATACATTACCTACAGCAATGACTTTGGGGAAAACCTCCCGACGCTCAGATTCAGCTCACACAGAGAGTCTCCTTGAATGTTTTCCTTCAGGCGAGGAGGCTCAGGGGCGAGAAACCGGCGTGTGGATGGCACCTCCTGGAAGTGCGGAAGGAAGGAAAAGGCAGAGCCCAAGCACAGGGTGCGTTTCTCCCAACCATTCCGCTCCCCGTCCCGGAGGTGTTGCCCGGAGTCCCACCGCGCCGGGCGGCTTCGGCACACGGGCACGCCGGCCGGCCCCGGAGAGCCCTGCGTGGGAACAGCCTGTACCACAGACGCCTGGTGCCCTCCCACCCAGCCCACGGGAGGGACGCGCCGGCTCCAGACGAGGTGTGAAACAGCCCACGGAGCCGCCGCTCCCCACAGCTGCCAAAATCCCCGGCTGCCCACCGACGCTGCGCTCCCGCTCGCTGTGCGTGTTATCAGGCGGTAACAGATGTCCTCTAATAACAAGCTTATTATTGGACTTAGCAGATAAAAAGGGACACGTATGCCAGGTCAGAAGCTCAGTAGCGAGTTTGCTTCCATAGCCCACCTTAAAATATCTCTCCCCATACCTGAGCTACGGGCTTGTCTCCCTTCATACCAAGGATGAGATTTAACATTTATTTTAAACGCCAGCTTTATTTGCTCCGAGAGGACATGCATCTGCATGCTGGCAGTTATTTTTCCACTTGCGCTGCATATCTCAGGCCATATTTGAGACAAACCAGATTTAGAACATACCAGATTAGGAAACTCATTTGACTTTCTCTGCCGCCAGCTCCACCAAGGGAAAAGTAAACTTCTACCACGGGACCCTGCAAACAGAAATTTCAAAAATGTACTCCTAAGTCGGGGTCGTGTTTTGAAAACCCGGATCCTCCTGAATAGCTCACTCAGAGGTAACCTCGGGAGATTTCAGTGGAGCTAGCTGGGGAATAAAGGATTTGTGCCACAGTCATGGAGACCTGCCACTGCGGGGCCGCATTCTGCCACTTGGACTTGGCATCGGCAGCAGGCAGTAGCTCCCCAACTAAATCAATAGGGTTAGTCTGAGGCGTAATGTGTTTCTCCACAGGAGAAAGAGCAAGCAAACGTGTCCCTCATTTACATTCGGTACACACCATAGTTTATTTTATATATTAATTTTTTTCACTTTATATATGAGATTAAATTTGGGAAATGGGTAAACAGTTTCACTTTTTTGATCTGAAAAAATGCATACCACCACTGGGGAAAACAGATGGCAAATACAGATCAGAAATCATAAGGAATCCAGACTAATGCTGTCAGTCCCAGCAAACGCTAGTGACGGAGCCCCTCTCCGTGCTGGTGAGCACCTACAGCCACGAGCAGCCACGCCAGCTTTCAGCGGCACGGCTCACACACCCCGCCAGCGGCTCTGAAATGCCTGGGGGGGCAGCTCGAGCCCCTAAGCACTGCCTGCGCCCGGGGTTGGCAGGCGCAAGCATCGCCCCAGGACGCAGGCAGAGCCCTGGAAACGAGCACATCTCCTCTCCCCGCTGCTTCCCTCCCGGGCTGGGAGTAATTGGCTGCGATCGCCTTCCAGCACACTCCCTCCCTCGTGCCAGCGCAGCTCTTTTGGCCAGCGAGCCGAGGGACGGAGCCAAGTCTCCACCTCCGCCGTCCCGCTCCTGGCACCCCGCAGCCCGGGGTCGGGATCTCCTCCTGCCGCCGCCTTCCCGCCGGCCTCAGACGGGCTCCTGCAGGCTTTCTGGCAAAGGCAGACGCGAAGACGTCAGAGGTTCGGGTTTTCAGGTTAGGGGTCTCTCATATCTCACCGCCAAAGGGATTCACGTTTCCTTCCCTATTTCTACATCCCTCTCGAGCAGCTCTCGCAGTTCCTTCGTTTTTTCAGCTATTCCTGTACCTGAGGATGGAGCTGCTAAGCCCGCTGGAGTGCCTAATTCAGCTTATGTGACTATTTTGCTTTTTATTTTTTTTTTTTTTTTAATTTCTTATTTGCATTCCGGTGGCATCTGAAGGCCTCGGGCAGGATGAGGGATTGTGTCCGTTGGTTCTGCCTCCCTGGCTGCTCAACCAGTAGGTCTGGCCTGTCTCCTGCTTTTTCAGGGATGGGGAAGGGCTTGTACAAGCTCTAATAGAGTGTTACTTCAGAGCCAAGACTAACGTTAAGCAGGTCAGAAAAGCTGTCACTCAGTGCTCCCATACTGACTGTGGGAATTAGTATCAAATAGCCAAACGTTTTATTAGCATAAAGTGGAAACCTCTGTTACTGAGGAAAGTTTTATAGAGAAATTCTTGGATACAGGTTTGTTACCACCATGCAACATAAAACCCAAGACCCTACAGTGCAAAAGACCCTAAAAATGAAGTATCTGCACCACTGCTCAGCTTCTGGTTTTGCTTAGGACCTGCCTGGTTACTTCTGCTGACTCTCCTCTGTCAGACATTATCAGCTAGAAGCGTGCCTGCCTCCTGCAATGGATGCACCACGTGCATACACCTCCCCCTCTCTCACACACACACTGCCATTCACCTCCCTAATCAAATCCCTGTGAAGACCATCCATCAGTCCCTATCATTTATCCTTTCCCCACACACAAGCTCACAAAACAGAATTATTCTTGTTAACATTCATTCCATTAATGAGAAATCCCTGCTGGTTCGTCATCCAGTGGTACCAGTATTTGCACTCACAGGCTGACATCTCTATCGTCCTCCAAACTGCTGCTCTGGGGTACAGAAATCTCCTACAGACTGGTCTCCAAGCAGAGGGGAGGCACGTTTCTCAGGACCAAACCTAAATTTAAATCTCTTTCCCTTAGAGCTGCTGGGGCTTCAGCATCTTTTTCTCCTGCATGGAACCTAAAATCTGCTATGATGCCTCATTGGTTAGCTAACTGCTTCTGTCCTTTGGGATTTTTCATACACTGTTGATAAAAGAGCCAGTGAAAAATATATCCATTAAATGCTTGGCCTCTGCTCGCTTGTTTCTTTTTCTGCAAAACTTAAAAAAAAAAAAAAAAAAAAAGAAAAAATAAATTCACTCAGATGCAGTACTCAGTCAGTTACCTGGGCTGAGGGAGTATTTTCCGCCAATGCCTAAAACTCATTACAGGTGCCAGCTTGGTGCTCTCACAGCTGGTGAGCACCATGTATTGTCCGATTAGATGCAGGGAGAGAGGCAGCAATGCAAACTCTTATACAGCAGGTCACCATAATTCCTGACTGGAGGGGAAAAACATTAAAATATTGTAAATGGCTCTGACCCCATTCATTCCCAGGTATGTCTTCTGAAATTTTCAAGGATGATAATTAAGACCCATCCCAGTGATTATTTTCATGACACTGTCACCTCCACTGGACTTTGACCTCCAATTTATTTTACATCAGCTTCCAAGCAACCAGCCAACTGTGATCTCCACCTCCTAGAGCCCATATGAACTGGTGATTTAGAGGGAACAGGTTTTACATCATTACTAAGCTCGTGTCACCGAGTCCTCTCCCATCCACTCCCTGGTGGCTAGCTCTTCAAACCCATGACCCTTACAAATATATTTTTTCCTCTTTTGCTCACCCTAAAACCAATGGCCTTCGTTTGACTGATACCACTCACTTTGGAGATCACATATTTAAGAGCACATACTCCCTGCCTCTCCTTTTCCATTCCTGACCTCTTCAGTTGCACCACAATAATCATGCTCTGCCCTCCTTGTGTCTTCTACACAGACGGCTGGAGCTCTTCAGCTCTCTTCTAAGGCTGTAACTGCCAAGGTTGCTGCATCACCTCTGCATCCCCACCCAGCAGTCAGGATGTGCAGAAGGATGGATGTTACTGAACCACAGTTGTTTTGGGGTATTTATTTTGTGATGATGGAGCAAATTCTTTGTATTAACATAGTGCAGACTGATGTGCTGTCAGCATGCTCTAGCTTCCCTAGGGCACGCAGTACACACCACTGAAGAAACCCCTAAGCCCAAGCAGTCCTTGTGCAACCAGTCATCATTTTCAGCCTTTCGTTTGAAAGAATCTCCTCTCTCTTTCACATTTGTCAGCATGTTTGTATGTATTACTTTAGAATTTCCTTAGCTCTCAGACAACTTGTTCGGATCACGCGACTCCTCCCATACCACATGCTCACCCCGGTACCCAGATTTTCTCCATAAATTTTAGCCAATTTAAAAAAATAATTAAAGAAATATGATTTTCCGATCAACAAGGGCACACAGAAAGCCCTGCTCACCCTCATCGAGGTCCCCGCTTCTGCTGTATGAAGTTTTAGCCTTCCCCCAGAGAAGTGCTGGGAAGATGGTTACTGGTGAGCTCTTCAACTGCCTCACCTGAATTACTAATAGCGAAACTCCTGCTCATCGCAGCAGATATATTCCGCACTCTTCTGACCAGGGGAGACTTCACTGCCATTTTCAGCACTGCCATTGTACCCTTCCTGTCAGCAATCACCTCCAGTGCTCGGTCGGCCTGCCCCGTGGGAACTGAGTCACTCCTACGGAGGAGCAGGAACCCTCTCACCAGGGTTCTGCGCGTTACAACCAACCCTCGACCACTTTTGTATTCCTCTCCGAGCACTCTGCAGCTCTTGCCTCCTCCTCTGTCCTCATCTTAAGTGATATGCAACCGGAACTCCCTAGGATTTCCCACCATTTTCCAGTGTCAGTATTACGTTCCCTCTTCCACCCCACAGTCAAATACTGCTTCTCCACTTCCTAAACCACTGAATAATCTCTCTCACCTCTGTACGAATAATTCCTAGTCCAATTAAGTCTGTTACCAGCTAATGGTGCTCTCATATAGAAATACAACAGAGACCACAGCCACAGCAGTCTGGAATCGAAAGGAACACTGTCCTGAGACAGGAGAAGCACCAAGTTTTAAAATGTCCAACACTTCAGAGACTGAGATAAAGGAAAATACTGAGCAAGAGAAAGAATAAACCCCTATGGCGAGTAAGGGAAAGGCATTTGATGAGTTTGCTGCTCACCAAGAATGCAGTATCCAGCATGACCCAGGCTGCCTTTATTCCTTTTACGTTCCCATATCTCACTTGGAGCTGGAGTGTCTGCTTAAATAGGAAGGAATGGAGAAACTCTGGAAAACTGCAAAAAAAAAAAAAAATCAACAGGCTTCACACATACCTGGCTATGGATTTTTATAGTCTTAATTAAGAGGATGCCTAGGAGTTCCAGGAAGGAGAAAATATTTCCCATAATGTCTGAGTGCAGAAGTTAACAAGCCTGCTGGGATCTTTTTAGCCCCTGCAGAGCTAAGGCTTCAACATTATTAAATGGCTGTCGCATCTGAAGTATGGTGCAACATAACTCAACACACAAGAGAAAGCGCAGGATGCTGAAATGGGGGATGACTTCAGATTAGGTTGCAGAGTAATTCAATTTCAGGACAGGTGTTTGCATGTGACTGAGCAAGAAATGACTGTGGAAAACAATAAAGGTACCCAAAAGAAGACAGGAGATAGACACAACAGGCTGGGCTCACAAATAGCAAAAAAAGTCTCAAACGAAACCATATGCTGCAAGACATTGTGGTTCAGTACGATCGTTCAAAGTAGATGAGCTATCAAAAAATACAGACGCTACAGGAGCAGAGAAACGCCTTCCTCGGATGGTGGTACCCCTCAGAAGACAAGGTATCTGCTGGCAGCTTTTAAGCACATAGTCAGTGACTCAGGAATTGTTAGCAACCGAGGCCAAGTCCCAGGGACTTTCTTACAGGGACACGAGTTACTTTCTTGCTGCTCCTAACTCACTTGGGTACCTCGGAAGAGCTTACCTTAAAGCCTTCCCTGCACAATCAGCAGCCACTTCCCACTACAACCAGCGATCGAAAGGATTATGCTGTATTTGATGAGACTTTAAGGTGTACATTCTAGGTTTCCCTGCTTAGAAATATTTCACCAAGCCTAACCCTTAAAATACATGCATGTTAAGAGTCGGAAGACTGCTAGTCTTCTTTTTTACAGATGCAAATTTTTAGGATATTTGGAAAGGACCTGTTCTCAGTCATTGCTATGCATCAATGCATGACACAGTGTACAGAAATTAGTATCCACCTTTTGTTTAACTTTCGAGAGCACATTTCATTTAAAACCAAAAATGCAGTACCAAGATGTTGCTGTTCAGAAAGGATTGCTTTCTTACAACCTAGTTCATTCTCCAAGTGAGCAAGGTCTTCCCTGACTTCAGTAAAGGTGTTACGTGTCCACCTAGCAAATAGAATTGCGTGCAAAGTGTCCAAAAAAAACCCCAGTAATATGAGTATACATGACCCAGCAGACAAAAACTGAGGCTGTTATTTACTGCTACACACCCCAAATAGCAGAATATGACATGATATTCACATATTTACCAGCTTAAACAAGTCTCCCTATATGAATAGGGCATGATGTGTATAGCCCACAACATTTTGTACAAACACAGGATTGGTAAGATTTTCCAAAGTGCTGTAGCTGGCATAGGAGTCCAAGTCATGATGTTTCTATGCACCTCTAACTGAAATATGTAGTCTAAAGTGACTTAGAAAATTTTGAAAAAAAAAAAAGAAAAAAAAAAAAGAAAAAAAAAAAAAGAAGAAAAAAGGTACTTACTATGCTAATTACTGCTCTAGGAAAAAAACTGACTTCATTCATCCTCTTTCACACAACACACGCAACTTCTCCAGCCTAAACAATACACAAGGATTTCATTATGTCAGCTTAAAAAAACAACCTAACCGATCAGTCACAACACTGAAATCCAAAGTCTGATGGAGAATCCTGATGCCCCAACTGTATAACCTGTATTAGTACTTAGAAAAATGTGCAGAGAACTATTCAGCGCAATCAAAATGCGGAAACACCACAACCGGTTAACCTCTCTTTACCATACGGACAATTTCACTGGCAAACAATCATAGTTCAATGATTTAAAGCAAGCAATTTCCAATGCAAGTAGAAAGCAGTGTTTATATGAAAGAGGCTGTTAAGAGCTTGACTGGCCTACAATTTTGCTGAATTCCTTGAAATTCTGTTCAGTTCAGTACCAAATCCCACCATTAAGAGACTTCCTTGGGCAGAAGAAACTTCATTTTTGCCCCCCTTTAACAAACTACACCACATCGAACAGCACTTTATACGATGCATATTCTAAATTTAACGCTAATGTCAGGGGGTTCGGGCACTTCCTTTGCTTTCTAAGTATCACCCGAGGAAAGGGAAAAAAACGACACATGAAATGGTAAAACAGCCGACGGCCAACTCCGTTTCAGAGGCTATCCCTTGCGCACAGTAACTTGCTAGAATGGTAAGGAGACCAAAAGCTCGACTCTGCTGGGCTCGCAGCATCTTCCTCAACCCTAAGTCTCTCGCCAACTGCAATGCATTCCCGCCTTGCAGGATGCGATCCTAATGCAGCAGGTCAAATAGGTTCCAGATTTCCAAGCAGCAGAGATCAGGCGCTGGCGAGCAAAGACGCTCTGCGGCTGCTCTGGTCTCTGGCGGAGGTGGCAGGAGGGGGCCTGGTGTTGTCCCCAAGAAGCTCCAGAGCTCAAAAAGAAAACCCGCCGCCGAACGTAGGCTTACCGCAGTCACGCAAAATCTGGATGAAGGTGAGAAAAACCGCTGCAAAAACGCTCCACAAAGGTCAAGTCTCGCCTTACCAACAGCATCGCCGCGGGATCGGGCGCTGTGCTGGAAGCAACGAGCACGAAGGCAGCAGCCACGCAGCGAGGGCTTTCCTGTGGTGCCAGCACCAGTTCCAGCGCCAGGCACCCTCCCTGCGGGCGCAGGCCTGGAATGGGAAAACAAGAGCACCCCGGGCACGCATAAGGAGGAAAGAGGTAAAAAACCCCAGCATTCGGGGCTGACCTGGGCTTTACAGCCGATAGCCAACGTGAATTGTGCTCGGGACAGGCTGCGGTTCTTGCTCCAGCTGCAAGTGCCCAGGGACAGGGGCTGCTTTTTGCGCCCGCTTGCACGGTGTTCAACACCCGGGGAGCCTCGGCTGGACGGAGGGCTGCGAGGCAGCGGCAGGGAGGTGAGAAACACTGGCAGTGAGGAATGGCAATGCAGGCTCCAAGGTGGTCCTTCTTTCCACCTTCCAGTTAACCGCTTGGATCACGTTAGCTGCCTGCTCCTTATCAGGCTTTTCAGCTCCCCCTCACACTACTCAATTCCATCGTGCCGTCGCTTAACTTATGCATGCAATTTAAAGCTAGATAGACGGCAGGGAAATTGCTTCCTCCGAGGCCCAAACTAATTGACCCCTATCCACAGAGCTCAGCAGTCTTCCCTTAACAGTGCTCACACGCGCTACCACAACACGGAGTGCAAGTTCGGAGGTTGCCAGCGCAGCCTCTCTCCCCCGTGGCAATGCCATATGGTGTTAAGATTTTCAGGATCAGATGCCGTTCCTGCTGAAATCAATCATCGCAACCCTATCCCCGGCGAAGGCTATCTCAAACTCCCGCTGGCTTGAAATGCGACTCAGCGAGGTGCCTCGGATTTGGATGCTGGTATTTACTATTTCAGGTCGGTATGCAAACGTTTACTTTAATAGCGCACATATCAATTAGCGCGGCTGTTAGGAATAAAGCAAGCGGCACCAGCTATGATGACAGCACGCCCAAAGAGCAGACACTTCGCGGGTGGGCCGAACCCTTCAGCCCCTGCCAACCCGAGTCTGCCCCTCCGCCTGACTCTGCCGCCACACTAATGACAACGAGGAGCGGGGCAACTGAGACTCGTACGCTGAATCGGGATGGTTTACTTCAAAGAGAGGGGGATATAAAGTAATGTCAGGCTCCTAATCTTCATAACCTGCAGCAGAAGTTACAGGCGCGTATACCAATCAGAGGAAAATAAGTAGTCTCTATGGGTAAATAAAGATTATGTCTCTTTAAACCGACTGTAAATCTGAATGAACACAGAATATACATACACAAGTAGGCAGCGTGCAACGTGACGTCAATCTTATTTTTATAGATTTATTATTACCGTACATAAAATTTCCTAGTAATAATAACATTCTATGAAAAATACTAGAGCATTGGGACACTTTTAAGGTGAAAATAGTACAAGAAAAATAGGAAAAAATAATGCAAGTGTTTAAAAAAAAAAATGCTGGGAGGGAAGCAGTCCATTAAAAATGCAAGGGTCAGGGACTGGAAAGCATTCATGTGAATCTGTTTTCAACTCTGTGTACTAACCTTGAGAGTTATATCCTATGCCTTCATTGCACCAGTAGAAGAAGAGATTTAAAGGAAAAAAGAGAGAAATGGTTTCCGTGGGATCAGCCAGTTTACTGTTTATTGTTATTATTCTCATTTTTCGTTTATTTCGGTTTTAAACACAGTTCCGCCCCCTGCCTTCAATCATCTCCGCAACTTGCAGCCACTCGAGCGCAATTCGCAAACCTTACAAAGCGAGTAGTGGAACGTGAGCCCCTCGGTCCTTGCCGCGTCTCCGTGGGACCGTGCCCACAGGGGCGAGGGGGGGATCACCCACGCAGAGCGGATGCTTCCCCCGCGAGCGCAGGCCAAAGGCACCCCAAAAGCTCATCCCTCGGGGGGGTTGGGGGGGCCCTGTCGCTCCCCAGCACCCTTCCAGCCGGCGGCCTGGCAGCCAGAGCGCTGCTGCTGCACATGTGCTTTAGGCAGCCCTGCTGTCACTCTTTATTAGTTAATTTAAATAAAATTAAAAGAAAAAAAAAAAAAAAAGAAAACAAAGAACATGTTAAAAAAACAACCATATAAGAAAGTTACTCGGCTTGGGCACTCTTCCTCTCCTACTGACAAACCACATTCCGTAAAGGAATTAGCCACATCCTGTGACAAAACTTTGCGATGGGCCACAACCTGCAGAAAAGTGATGCCTTACTGACATCTCCACAGCTGGGAAGGGAAACCTGTCTCCCTTCGAGTCACGGTATAGCAGCAGAGGAGCTTTTGTGTTTACGTATCTGA